CTGTTTCTGTCTCCCCCCCCCCATTTCAGCCATGACTACTGTCATTCCTTACACACTCCCTGTCTATTTTTTTCCATTTCACTTCAGCCACACTGTCAGTCCTTCACACACACACACACACACACACACACACACCACTCATTCCTTTTCTCCTGCTCCTCCCCCCCCCACCCATCTACCTGCCTCCATTGCATTCCAAAGTTAATGGGAGGTGGATCCTTGCCTGCTTGCTTCCCCAGCCCCCTCCCCACCAGTACCTATGGTTCTCTGGAGGGCTGCTGTCCTGCAACCACTTCAGCTCTCACTGCGGATGGTGGGTGCTGTCCCCCCATCCAACCTGTGTCACTGCCGCCACCCGCCACCTTCCCTGGGATTCCCCTAGACCCTGCCTGTCTTCATTGCAGCTGGTGGGCACTTCTCTGTCCTGCTGCCGCCACTTTGGGACTTTGCAGCTTCCCTGTGCCTCTCCCTGCCTCTCTGTCTCTGGAGGTTGCTGCAAGGTGATATTCTATGGCTGCCTTTTTTCAGCCTAAACTTCCTCCTGCTACCTCCAACAGCCCCAGCCTCCTCTCAGCTGGTCTGCAGCTATCTTTTGAGAGCCCTAGGTGCTGGAATAGGCCCCACTCCTCTACCAGCTCCTGAGGTTCCTTCTAGCCTGGCCATCTTTTTCCTTCAGCCACCATTAGGAGAGGCAATCATTCATTCACTCCCCCTATGGCAGTGCTGCAATTTTTAGGTTTTGTAGTACCCCCCCCCCAGCCTTTTTTCCTTACTTTCAAAATTTTCTGCAACCATGGGGAGTCCCCAGAGTTTGCAGGAAAGTCTTACTTCAGTGTAAGTGGGCCTGATCAGCAGGTTTAGCTATCCGCAGATTTGGCTATTCCTGTTGATCTCAACAGGAAACTGAACAATATAGGTATTACTAAAGATCTCAAAGCTAATCTCTTGTATGGATCCTGACCCAGAATTTCCTGCAAGGATTACTGCAGACTCTATTGCAGCACAGTAAATCCCATGATACAGAGGCAAGCACACCAATTTGTAGCCTCCAAATATTTGTTATCATAAGAACTTAAGAAGAGCCATGCTGGATCAGACCAAAGGCCTATCAAGTCCAGTATTTTGATCACAAAGTAGCCCCACTAGCTGCCTCTAGGAAGCCCACAAGCAGGATGATTTCGAAAGCATCCTTCCGACTGTGCTCCCCAGCAATTAATACAAAAAGAGGCATACTGCCTCTGGTACTGGAGGGAGTAGATATGACTAGTAGCCATTGATAGCCCCATCCTCCATTAATTTTGTCTACTCTCCTTTTAAACCTTCTGAATTGTAGGCCTCTACCACATCCTATGGCAGCAAGTTCCAGGATTAACCATACACTGTATGAAGAAGTACTTGCTCTTGTCTGTCCTGAATCTCTCACCCCTCAGTTCCCACCCTTCAGCTTCTATCATGCCAGTAGCAACTGCCAGTAGCAGAAAGTGAAATACCTACGGAGTCAACCAAGTTAAGCATCCTCATCACCCACTGGTAACCCTTTACTGCCTTTCTTCCCAAGAAACAAGTAAGGGCCTTCCTACTTAGGTCTCCCAAAAACTTGACCAAGTTTGAATAGAGCCACACAAAATCTTCAGTCCTTCAATCAATGCACTTTTACAGGCACAATATATGTGAAAACAAATAATAGTGCTCAGTAGATTTGCCAGTCATATCTGAGCTGGAGAAGTCAAGTTTCTTTAATTGATCCTCATGCATCATAAAAATCTGTGGGGTGGAAAAACTGGTACTAGTTGACTGCATATGTTTCTGCAGACTCTTTTCACTACCTTTGGGAACAGAAAAGTGCACTTTGACTGGCAATGCATTGGCTACTACTTCAGAAAAATAAAGAAATCTAGTTCCTTTGCAAGGATTGGAGGAAAACAGTGTATGAATTACTGTGAGGGAAGAAAACTAAAATAATTAAAATACGTAAGCATAAGAATATAGAATGCATATATTTTAAAATAAGCAGAGGGCACTCATCAGAAACACTGTAGTCATTGAATCTACTTGAGGAGACAGCCAACTTCTCCTTTTTAGAGTATTTACTTTTTGTCATCTGGTTCAATAGCATCTCCAATGGGAAAATCTTCACTGTAACGGTACAAAGCTTAATGATTCATAGTTGCCAAAAAGAACTATCATATAATCTAAGGAAAACTGATTACCCACCTAGTAATTTCTGTGGATCTGTTGTTATGCTCCTTTGATTTGACATACGTTGACGGATGTCTGGATTTTGATCAAGGAGAACCATAGTAGCTTGCTGCCATGCACAAGGCCATGTAAGCTGATTGTCATTTGCACCAGAGACTGAATGTAAATATATACCTAAATTAAATGGGCTAGTACTATTCAAATGCAATGCAATCTGAAATGCATAACCTTGCATAGAATAAAATGGCGGACTGTATAATGCTCCTGCCTCCCCTGCAGGGCTTGAATAAAGGAGCTGAGTGAAATTTCTTATATGCCAAACATGGTGAGGGCACTGGGTTTCTGACAGATTGATATCATCAATGGAAAGACCTCCATTTGATACACTAGATCCTTTTATGCCTTCAAATACAACTCGGAATTTAGTTGTAGCATTCAAAGGAACATGATATAGCTGCCAATAGTCCGTTGGTAAACCTGAAAAAGAAGCACAAGGTATGTTATTTACAACTTATTTCAATGATGCATCTAATTCTCAACATGGCTCCATCTGTGGAAACTTAAATCCCAAGATGGGGGCCAAAGACAGACAACACAGAGCTTTCTACAAACCTGAGAAAAGCTCCAGGTTTTCAGAAAAATCTGAAATTGTGTGTGTGTGTATAGGTTTTAAATCCCCCCGTGAAAACAATAAAAGCAGTATCTGTAACTTTAATAAATGAATGCCATCAATGGCTGTTGCTAAGCAATCACAACGGCATTGCAAGCTTGCCAGCTTTGATTTCTGTCAGTAAAAGGCCGAGGGAGGGGCAGGGCCCTTTTCAGGGCTCTTTTGTCCTTTAAAAGAACATTCAGTGGGGCCGGCCCACCAGCAACATAATACCACATAACTGGCATGATTCACTCAGGCCTGGTTGCTTGCTACTGTTCAACTGCAGCCACCACACAAAAGCCAGTGTGGTGGTGTGGTTAGCATTTCAGGATAGGACCTGTGAGATCCAGGTCTGAATCACCACTTTGCTATGGAAGCTCACTGGGTGACCCTTGGGCCAGTTATACATTTTCAGCCAAGCTCACCTCACAGGATTGTTGTGAGGATAAAACTGAGGAGAGGAGAATGATGTAAGCTGCTTTGGTCCCCATTGTGGAGAAAGGTGGGGTATAAACGAAAAAAATAAATGATAAATATTGCTGAAGATGGCTGACAGATAAAAAGATACATTTGTGGGTGGGTGAGAAAGAGAGACGGAAGAAGGAAAAGGTAAGGATATGGGGTTTGCCAGGAAGAGGGAAAGAAAAATAGAGTGGGGAAAGGGATACAGGGGAATGTGAGATGTCTTTGCGAGTCCTTGTGGGTTCCATACTGTACAACTGTGCCATAGTTTTCCTGAGTAGAGGGTTTCAGAGAGGGGGGGGATGGAAAGCTGAAGACAGGGGAACTGTTAAAGATAGGATAGATAGTAGAAAGGGAAAGAAAGAAGTAGGAAAAGGGGAGAGGGTATGGTGGCTTTCAGGGAAGGAAAAGAAGCAATAATGGGGGAGGGGAAATGAGATGCCCCCCTGCAAGTCCTTCTGGGTCCCCTGCTTGTGAATTCTGATATTGTTAAAAGCATTTAGGATATGTACAAAGACTTGCTACAATTCATTCCATTGTTCTTTCCCTTTGATCTTCTTGTGTTTCTTTTTTGTTTATAAGCCTGTAGAGGCAGGGCCTGTCTCTTCATAGAACTGAATCACTTTATATCCCTTCTGAAAAACTGAATTAAATATATAAATTATTGGGACCCAGCTCAAAGCTAGACTACTGTAATGCATTCATGCTGCTCAGAACTTCAGCTGATACAAAATACCAAAGCCTGCCTCCCAACTGTGCTGAGCCACTAGTGGTGTATTATCTGGACTGGCTCCCATTTGTCTTCCAGTTAGAACTCAAGGTGCTGGTTTTGACACATAAAGTCTTAAACAGCTTTGGCTTTAGCACACCTTAGAGATCACAATCCCTGCTTTTATGTTCCATTACAATCTTGAATCAAAGCATTCATAGATACCAATTTTATGTGGGGGGGAAACAGCCATGGAAAATACAGTGCAGAAGCATGGCTGAAGAAATATCTATTGTCTTGTATAACAATTTTTGTTAAAGAAATATTAAACTGTCTAATTCTCAGTAGCATAATAAACATGTATCTGATTTCAACTTCAGAGTACGGGTTGATGCTCACTTTACTGAATTCTGCTCTACATAAGAGATTAACTGCACTTAGAAAAGCAGGTATCAGGGAGACGAGTTCTAGCCTAACTTTGTTTCCTATGTGGCCAGAATTCTTTTGTAAGAAGATAAATGCAAACACACACATCTTGGTCCATCCATAAAATGAATACTGCAGGCTTGCACAGTGTCAGTTTGCCCGGGGCCATGCAGAAAAGAGAGAGGACATTTAACTAGGGGTGTGCATTCAGTATAAACCGAGCCAAAAAATACCCGATAAATACCTTATCAATATTTATTGGGTAATTTCTCAGCCAGTTACAAAGTGGGCTGCTGATTCAGATATCTGAAAATGGCCACCTCAAAAAATCCCAAAAATATTTGGGGATTTTTCGGGGCCACCAGATGGTAGGTGTTTAAAAGGATTGTCTTCCCTTTAAACACCTTCTGGGTAAATGAGCTGCTTTGCAGTGCAGCTTTTTGCAAGCCGCGCTGTGAGTTCTCTGTTATACCCTATGGAAATCATTATAGTCAATGGCCCCCATAGGCTATAATGGAGAATCTAGCTGGAGTTATCTGGGGCTTGGGGGGGGGCTGTTTTTTGAGGTAGATGCAGCAAATTTGCAGCATAACTACAGGTGCATCTCCTAACCCCCCCCCCCAGCTTCAAAAAGATTGGAACAGGGGGTCCAATTCTATGATCCCCAGAAGAAGGTGCCCTCATTCTCCATTGTTTCCAATGGAGGGAAAAGGGCATTTAAAATGAACACAGTCCCTTTAAATGTCTTCTCTAATCAACAGGCAAGATATTTGTCTCATCTGTTTGAGCCCCCAGAAATAACTAGGTCTAGAACAGACACTGAGTGTAACATGCTTTTCATACCTTGAATTGTTTTCACAAGTCTTAAAGTACCATTGGGGTTCGCTTCACTGTACTCCTTAACTAAGACATTCAGCTGATCACTTTCACTCCCACTGTTGTAATAATAGAACTGCAGGCACTGGAATCCTCTCTTGGGATACAGAAACCGGCTCTCTAAAATGGCTTGGTCCCTTGTGACTCCAGCACTAGTGTTAAAATGCATAAAGAAGCCAGTTTCTATTGAAGGCGTAAAAAGAGGGGGATAAAGAACACCCAATTAGAACTTAGCAACTGGAAAAAAAATCATACATGACATTAATTTTGTGAATGAAAAGATGTTCAGTCTCTGGGCATAAGTTACTGAAATGAGATAGTCATCATTGCTTCCTATTTGGTTGGCTTTGTCTTTGTTGTTTCTATTCCAAAGTATTTTTTGTAATCATCTGATGCTGAAACCTTGCATTGACTAATGAGAGAAACTGACACATTTTTATGCCTAGATCAACTGATATAGAAAATCAAATTCTATGATCAAGACATTATTTTGGGATCATTGGGTAGGATCCAGCACATAGTCCTGTCATCCAGCATGATCAAGACAAAAACAGGGAACAGCAGGACCTTCCTTAGAGTAGCCCCATGGTCTCTGGAATGAGCTTCTATAAAAAAGCCCTCCTGGGACTAATTGGGGGGAACAGCACTACAAAAGGGCCTCAGCCCCAGTCCACCTTGGCCTCCCCACCCCCAAAGGAGGGAAGGAGAGCCTGCCTAGCCAGCTTCAAGCAGAAGGCGCCCAGCCAAGCTGGGTGGTCGGGTGGGTACAGGTGGGCATGTCCCATTCCTTGCCATGGCTGGGTGAAGGTAGCCCAGATATGGGGACTACCTCACAAATTAGAGTGGTCCCACTAGGCAGGGTGTGTGGCCTTAATGGCCAATCTGCCCCCATGCTTCGTGTTAATGTTTAGTAAACACTGTAAGTATTACACTTTTGAAGCTTAAGCTACAGATTTAGATATATGCTAGCTGCTTTGTTGGGACTAGATTGCACTAGTTAATGGTTAATTAATCAGCACTTATCTATTTTGCAAAAATGAATACAAAATAAGATGCTGGTACTGTTAACAGATCTTTGTGTATCCTGTAAAATGAGTCAAGGTAATAGCATTTGCAAAAACTTATAAGAATTCATGTAACATCAAAAAGGTTTAGTGTCTTTGTCCTTTTTGAAATTCGAAAGGCTTTTTAAAATTCTCCTAAGTATTTCATAGTTTTAAAATGCAATAGTAATTTATCAGCAAATTAAATAAGATCAAAGATCACTAATGTACCTACAGGAGTTACTTCAAGATATAACAATTATTGCCACATATTACCCTGACAGTTTCCAGCATAGGTATGATCAGTTTTCGGTCCACCAGATACTTCAGTTATACGTTGCCAGTCAGCATTATCTTCTGAACCTTGAATCATGCCACACACGTTTTCAAATTCAAAACTGCACGTTTCCATAAAGCTTAAGGAAGTGGCTACAAAATCAAACAAACAAAATGTTTATATGTTGTCGAAGGCTTTCACGGCCGGAGTTCATTAGTTGCTGTAGATTTTCAAGGACGTGTGGCCGTGGTCTTGGCATTGTAGAACCTGACGTTTCGCCAGTAACTGTGACTGGCATCCTCAGGAAGATGGAATACTCAGAAAGATGGAATACTCTCTGTGTCAAGGTGAGAAGAAAATGGTAGGCAGGTAATTTATATCGACTCCAGAAGGTGGGAAAATCTACAGCAACTAATAAAATGTTTATACATGGTCAATTCAGTGTTTGTGAAACTGAATAAATACACTCAACTGGATCAGAATATAATGGAGCTTAATGTTGATACCAACGTAGTCATTACATCATCAATTAACAGTATCAGCAGAATTCATAAATCAATTAGATCATGTACATTGGCTTCCAGCCTTGTTTTATGTACCTCCATACTTTAAGTTTGTTTGCCAGGTGTCCTGCATATAGTTTCCCCACAATAGATAAAAGACTAATGGGTCTATAGTTGCTTGGAAGTTGGCAATTTCCTTTTTTAAATACTGGCACCAATATTGTGTTTGTCCACACATCAGGCATTAGCCCTGTCTTGTCTATCTCAGTAAGAGTGGCTAAAAAGGGTGCCCACCACTCTGGAAATGTCCTAAGCATTCCAGGAGGTATTGCATCAGGCCCAGGAGTCTTCCCTGGCTTTAGGTGCTCAATTAGGGATTCTACCTCCTCAACCTGTACTGGAGGCCATTCAGGACAGTACTGGGATGTACCTATTATCTATTTCAAAAAGCACCATTCAAGATTACAATATTAGACTTTTTCTTTATCCCCTAATGTTTTTTCCTTTGTGTAACTTTACCTGAGGATGAATTGTGTGAAACACAAAAAATTTCATAATGCATTGTGAATCATAGTTGGTTAAACTAAAAGTATGTTGCAGTTGCTGTTTAACAATAAGGATGATTGGTTTGTTCTGTGTAGTTTCACGGGTATGTAATACAATAAACAAAGTGATGCCAGTGTGTGAATGTATATAAGTAATCAGAAAGATAAATACTGACACACAAAATGAAGTTACACTGAACATCTTTATTTAGTATAAAATAGCCCTGCAAATGACTTCACAAGTTACCAACTCAGTAAAATACTTTACTAGCCTATATGTGGATTTTTTAAAAAAAATCTTTGACCTTGAAGTAAACCTTTCCCCTCATATATTAAATGGAATAGGCATAAATAGTTTTCTTAAATGAAGAAATAAATAAAAGGGAGGGAAAATATTTAGCATTTATAATCTAAAGTACCTTCAAAGTCACTTTCTCTTTCCTCTCCATAAAGGCCAAGGTCAAAAATAACATCTTACATCGTACATAACATTGTACATATAATCATTCAAGTCCAGTAGCATCTTAGAGAGCAATCAGATTTTGGGGGAATGAGCCTTCTTGTATCTGATTGAGCTTTTCTCTGGAAAGCTTATACCCTGAAACTCTTCTTTATCCTTATGGTGCTATTGGACTCAAATATAGCTCTTTTCTGCAGACCAACACAGCTGTCCTCCTGAAACTATCTTCATATGATCAAGCTGACTCAAATAATAAATGGTGGCTGCATATAGACATGAGCCTCCGGGGAGGGCGGGTTAGAAATGTAAATAATATAATAATAATAGCCTATGTGATGCACAGTAAGTAAATGGTTAATGCTGTAACCTAGTCTGAGAACCTTGAGTGACAGGGGAATGAATAGAATTATTCAGTTGAGATGTCAGTTAAAGAGTGACAGGAGTGGCAGTTAAGAACTGACAGTTGACTGGGAAGGAAGGCTGGGAGAGGATCAAGAAGGCTCCCGAGTTACGAAAGTGGGAAGCTTAGCCCATCCCTAACAAGCCTGAGAGAAATTGCTTTTAGAAGGGGGGGGGTAATCCCTAGCCTGTGGATAAGGAGGGAAACTGGAACTTTTTAAAATGTTCCTGCCTTCATCAACTGTTAGACAAAGAAGTTTATGCTTGTGTATTTAAGCAGAGACTGCCAAGAAATCTCTCTCCTCAAGTTTTAAAGACCTGTCTGAATAACAGAAACAGTGACTTCTTTGTGACAAATTGCCTGGTGTTTATTTGTATACAAATTTACCTCATTCCAGTTGCCTGTTCACCTCATAAGTCCTAAATATGATTTCTACTTGACCATTTCCCCTCAAAGTTAAATAAAACAGGTGTTGTTTTTTTTACTACCATCAGTCTCTTGTGTGTTATTATGAAACTAGGACATAAGAATGATTTTAGTCTCGCCCTTCAGTTCCCAAGGCTGGGTCAGCTTTTACCAATATACATTCAAATGACTGGGTGGGACAGCCAGAGAAAAAAAAAAAGAAGGAAAAAGGGGCTGCTCAGCCAGAAAGAAGATAAGGGAACCCCTGTGAGGGAGGGTGAAATTGTTATAACCTAGTTAACAAAAACATGCATCAATCTGAAAGGATGCATGTGTCAGGTTCAATAGAGCTGTCGCAGTCCACAACAATTCATAAGAATAGGTTGCTTTATTACAAGTCACTATTGATACTCTCACATAGTCATTGTCAGGAATGAAACTCAAAACCAAGCAGGGACAGATATAGACAGTTCAAACACACAGGATTGACCAATGAATACAGTTTGTGCTCAGCAGGTATTGAGCGGGAAAAAATCAAGGCGGGATATAGCATCCAGCCGTTTGAGTCACACCAGCCAGATTGGGAACGGCTCCAGCAGCCGTTCTCACAGTCTTATCAACTACAAAGGCAGCGCCACCTTCCAAAGCCAAAACAAACGGTACCACAGCACTGAGAGGAAATGAACAGAGAAATGCAGGCTAGTCCCCCCCAATCATACAGCAGGTAGGTTACACAGAACATACCCAGAGTACAAATGGCAGTTTACTGACAGCATGTTGCTTCTCCTCCTCATTTCTTCCAGAAACAATCATGGTTAAGCACTCTCTCTGGTTACCCATTGACCAGGTGCAGGTATGCAGGTAAACTGCAATTAGTTTCCTCCTGCTAGCCAGGAACCTTAACCAGGGTTTTACATGGGAGCGGTGGCGCAGGGATTCCCCTGCTTAACTATAACATCTGAACTGCCAAACTTTGTCAGTTCTAGTCCCATGCTGGTGTGAGCAACCAAGCCTTGTCCTAGCTCATCGTCTACCCAGTGATTTGAAAGCTTCGGCAAGTAGATAAATTGGGGACCACCCGTAAGGGGGTGGGCACACCACTCCCTTTGGGAAGGTGTTAGCTGTCGAGTGTGACTTCTGTGGCACGGCAAGATCAAAAGATGAAAGATCTGTTTCGGCATCCCTGCAGTGGAGCAAGTCAGCCAGGCAGTGGCCGTGTGGCAGCGCGACATCAAGAAGCCCTGACGTCATCAGCCAGCCGACAAGAATACATGCCATCGGAACATGACTGATCCAGCCCGCAGATGAATCCTCCAGCCAGCTACAATGTGTGTGTAATTAAAAATACTGTATGTTGTCTTCCGTATCCCCCATGAGTATTGTTAGTCCAAATGTCATGAGTAACTGTAAATCGCTCTGAGCCCACAGGTGTGTGAGGGAAAAGCGATCAATAATTCAAAAGTATTATTATTATTATTATTATTATTATTATTATTATTATTATTATTATTATTATATTCCAGTTAGTAGGGAGGAAACTGACTGGTTACACTGTGCTTCTCCATTCATACATTAGGAATAGCCAGAATAGAACCATGCTTTGTAAAACAAAGGAGGAAGCTGCAGGCACAAAAGTGAGCTCAGTCATTTATATATGGGTGTCAGCAAATAAAATTCACTCAGCACTGGATTTCTTTAAAAGTATCAGACTATGGTGAAGATAGATTCCAAAAGGAATATGAGGTGAGTTTATATTCATCCTAAGTAAACTGGCCAAGTAGCAATTTAAAAGCCAGACTGTGAAACTCTTCAGGCAAAATGAAACACTATTACTGTACCAGCATATGAAAATTGGTAGGAAAATCAAAACCAACAAAGAAAAAAAAAATAAGTTACAGAAAATCAATATGAGGGAGCTTTAAACACTTACTACAGTTATATAGTTGACTCAGTTTCTGGATATCATATTCACTGAAATCCATCCGTTGTCCAATCACATCAATGAAGGCTGGTATGTTAGTTATTATCGTTGGTTCTGTGCCATTCATGAAGGCAGTTTTACTATAGTGCATTACAGAGGTGTAGTCATAAGGGACATTAAGGAAGTCTGATGTTTTATCACTATATTTATTGAAGTTTCCTTCTCTTCCTAGCCAAGAGAGAAGAAAATAATATTCCATATTATGGTGACAACAGTTATTAATGAGGACAATCCAGCCAAAGTTAAACATTTTTGAGAGTCTTTGATTTCAACAAGAGAGCTAAGCATGTTCCTAAATGTCTTTCACAGAAGTCTTGCTGGATTCCATATCTGAAAATGAATTACAAAGGATGACATAGATGAATATACTATTCCCTGATCCCCAGATAATGTTTCAAAGTATCTGACTGAAATTAGGATTATTGTATTAAATCTTCTTTTGTTTTATATCAATTGAAAGACAGAGGACAATCCAGCCAGCATTAATCATATTGTCTTATTATTTTCAAAGGAAACTGCAGTATTTGTTTAACTCACCCATTTAGTCAACAGGACTTAATGTTTCAATGTTGGCTGGATCATTTTACTGAAATAAATATGTATTTTTAAATAATATATAGCAGAATATCTTTCATCTATATGGACAATCCCTACAGCTTTAAAGATACTTTCACAGAGTAAACACTTTTTAATTATTGAAAAGTTATCTATACCCTTTGAACACAAAGCATCAAAATTTAGTCATGACTAAGGCCTATTGACATCAATAGGATTTAAATCAGTCCCACTCAGTTGTTTTCAATATGATTTTATTGTGGCTAATCTTTGTCGTATTGTGTTTATCATGCATAAATTTTTAGATATTATCAAACTAGCATGTTTTAAACCAGATTTTACATGAAAGAGAAACTTTGTAAATGAGTGCTGCTACAAAGGATTAGGAGAAGGCAAATGAGTTACCAGTCTGAATTCTGTCTCTCATTATTGTGACATAATCATCCCTGTCAGATCGTGATTGCTCATGCCAGAATCCCAGTGCGTGAAGGAACTCATGCTCAACAGTTCCAATCCTGTCACAGTTGGTTCCTATGGAGAGTTCTTGCCTTCCAGTTTGGCGGTTTCCTACATAGGACCAGCAGCTAATAAGAAATGTAAAAGAGATCCATTAGTCCTCAAAAACAGGACCTTCCCAGAAGAAACATTTTTCATGTGTCACCCTGATAAAACAAGGAAGAGCTTGCTATATCAGTTATTGTGAATGCAGTTAAAGTAGTCATACCTCTGCATTTGGACTGGAGATATCAAATTCATAATCTAAGATATGGGTGATGGCCTGAACTTCTATTTAATTTGCAGTCTTCAGTCATTGCCTTAGGCAGGTTGGTATATAGCCCATTTAAAAATCTCATGTGGATTTCTATATGATTACATCATATGACTTGAAATTTCATGTGTTCACTTATGACAGAATGCCTACAATGTAGCCAGAGCACTCAGAGTGAAAATGTGGAAAGGTTCTGAGGTTAATGCCACCTCCCTGGCACAAGCAACTGGCCACAATGTATTGCTTAACACATGTTGTGCATGGAAAACTGCTCACATGCGTCTCTAGTTTTGCTATGTGATCACAAACTGCAAGGGGATCCAAATGTTTGACTATGGAAAATGACTAACCTTATCAGTTGGCCTCCATACATATCCACGAGCTAGTAGGGGCACTGTTGAAGCACTTTGTTCCTCTCACATGAAAGTTTATACCCAGAATAAAACTTTGTTGGTCTTGAAGGTGCCACTGGACTCAAACTTTGTTCTGAGAAACACTGGTTTACGTTGCTTGCTAACAGCTTTCTCCTCGCCTGACCAAGGCTGAGTTCTAATGGTCTGATGTGTTCCTGCTCATGACTGGCCTGCTATGTGGAGCAGCCAGTACTAGAGTAAATTCAGCCAGCTGGGGAGAGGGAGTGGTAGTATTTGGGCCAAAAATGTTGCCTAAAGCTCCACCTGCTACTCTCCCATCTTGCACTGTTATTCCCAAAGTGCTTATGACAGATTCATAATCTTTTATCTCAGCTGATTCAGTTCTGAGAACCTAAGAGATTCTGAACTTTGTAATAAAGGTCCAGCCTGGATTATTTAAACCAGACAACTGATCAAATTGAAAAAGAAAGTGATCTAAATGGACAGACCAAAAACTTGCTAATATCTCGTGTTGCTTTTTTCAAATAGTGTGAAGACATTATAAACAATGATACTGCAAAGCAATGCTTGTAGAATCTGTGCAATCATGTAAGTCTTCCTGCAAGAAGCTATAAAATTGATCAGCAACTATAAAAATAGGAATTTACTGCACTATTAAGAGGAAAGGCACTGTTTATAGATAGTTTACAACAATAGGTATCTTCATGTAAAAGCCAAGACAAATTCCAACAGACTAGATGAACTGGCATTTTTTAAAATGTGGTTATTACTATTGCAAGAGAAAAATAACCAACATCCTGAGAATAACTCCCAGCAGAGTTCAGCTGTTCTCACTAATACAAGATTCACTACTGAAATTAGAAATTTTTCACTGACATACAGCCTAATTTTAAAATTTGCTGTGCTAGTAAATAAATTTTAAAACGGGATGTACAAAACATTGTTATCAGCACAATCCAAATAATCTTATCTATCACCAGCATTCAGGCCAAGCGACTGGAACAGGGGGAGGTCTCAGTTAAGCGACTGCAGTTAATGGAGGCATATCTGGCAAACCACTCTTTGTGAAAGTTTTTTTTAAGTCAGTTGTGTACACAGCATACAGATATTTTTTTTAAATGGCAGAGGAAGAGCTCAGTATAAATTTGTGAGGGGCCCAGGAAAAAAAACCTATCGGCAACTCTACCATTATTGCAAGGATTTCATGATGGCACTGCAAGCAACACAGAAGCTCAAACCATAACGAGGATCAGAATTAAAACATATTTAGTCACACATTAGAATCACTGAATTCTGAACAACACACAGCTTGGATCCAACAGAATATTTCTGTGGGTGGAAGAGTTTCTGTCCATAGAAGTGCTCCCCTGGATCCAACCCAGTGTCTCCTGTAGAGAATGTCATATTTACAGGTCCCAAGTTTATAATTTCACAGACCTAGCTGGCACAAATCCTAACTTACAGTGGCATCCTAAACTGAGTTACACCCTTCTAAGTCCACTGAAGTCCACTGAGACCCAGTTTGGTGTAAGTGGTTAAGAGCGGCGAACTCTAATCTGGAGAACCAGTTTTGATTCCTAACTCCTCCATGGTGACCGGAAAAAAGCCCACAGTCATAAATGCTCACAGGAAAAAAGCCCACGTGGAAAAATGCCCACATGGAAAAAAGCCCACACGGGAAAAAGCCCATATACGTAAAAGCCCACACGGGAAAAAGCCCATATACATAAAAGCCCACACGGAAAAAAGCCCACATGGAAAAATACCATGTAAAGCGCCATAGATATTTATAATTGTGGATAACCATTCATCTCCATTTATGAGAATGAACAGGTATTACCTGTATTCACATGCAACTCTTCTTCTTCAGTGGGCTTCAAATTGTGTCAGTCTGCTAATGTGCCTCTTTGAGTTGTAGAATCCTCACTGAATCCCACATGCTGGGGAAGATATGCTGCTGTTGGAAAGACTGTGTGCAGGTTTTGCTTCATGTACATCACCCCAGCATATAAATTGGCACCATTGGGTACGTCAGCAAAACATAACAAATTGTGATTCTTCTTACCCACTTCCTCTGATCACTGAGAGATAATTTGCTTCACCTTCCCAGGGTTTGAAATCAATACAGGTTTTTAGGCGGTATTGTTCAAAGGCTTTGAGAATAAGTCCTTTGGCATTCATTTCTGGAAGAAAAATAAAAAGTCAGTTACTAAAATATATGTCTGTTAACTCAGGTAACATTCCCATCATAAACCAAGAATACTGCTGGTAACACTGATACATTTGATACATTAATAGAAAATAAATTATTGTAAAAATTATATTAGCCTAGTTAATATGTTACATACTCTATATAAAATTGATTACTATACCTAGCTTAATTTACTGTAAACATTAGTAATTTTCTTGGATTGTTTGCACATAATTTATTTACTTAATTTACAGTGTTCCTTTCTCACAGAGACCCATGGTGGACAAGTATTGCAGATATTCAAGCTAAAATGATTTCTATTTAAATTAAATATTTCCTTTTATTGTAGTTTTCTACATTTTTGTCTGTTTTCCACAATACAAAATTTTTCATCAGTAATATTTTAAATTCAATTTGTTCTAATTACTTTTGTCCTCATTTTTGCTCCATCCTGGCAAATAACTTCAGAAACTAACATTTTAAGGGTTCATATTAGGGCTGCCAAGTGGGGGCGGGTGGCGAGTAAACCCCCGCTTTGGAGGCCCGATTTCCGCCGCCGCAGAATCAGGCCCCAGGGGGAACCCCGCCCCCGAAGCGCAGCGTGGCTTCGTCACCAGAGGTGACGCAACCATGTAGAGCCGATCGGGGCCACACCCGATCGGGGCCACACCCCCAACGTGCTCTACGTCGTGCGTCACTTCCTGTGATGTGCAGGCGGCGCGCGCGTGCGCGCACAGGTCCTACAGCAACTCCCGGAGCCAAGAGACAGTCCCCCGTCGGTGAGTACAAAGGACTTGGCAACCCTAGTTCATATCGAATACTGCTTTTCAAAGAATGAATGCACTATCATACCCAGGCTGTCCTCCAGGACATATGGAATGGTGTGGGGCCATCGATACTTATCACCAATAATGGAGTTTCGTTTCTGGAAAGGAGGGAAAGTATGAAGAATTCAGGGAAGCAAAACATAAAGGTTAATATTACCAAAGCTCTCTGCCTTTGCATTCAAGTGACTCTGCTATGGGGCATGTCAGTTCCTCACTGCTTATGGCACACTGTAATGTGGCTAACTGGGGATAATCTGTTAGTGCTTCAGTGTAGTGAACTGCTCTGTGAAAGGTCATGTATTCTGACACACAATTGGAGACTGTAAAACATCATCTATTTTAATAAACACAAAATAGCTTTCTGGACTTCTATGAAGAAAGGCTTGTAAATGCATGGCATGTGCCTCATGACATTTCCTCAGGTATAGAGGAAAAGTATGCAAATGGAATAGTTTGCAAGAAATATTGTAAGCTAAAAAAGCTTCTGTCTATATATCATTAGTATAAACACTATGAATATTGTGCCAGCATACAAACTGAACAGTAACATAATGGCTGATTCTTTACCTGTCTCTCTCCCACTTTTATTCTCTCAGATATTCTCTGTGCATTCCTCTCTAGTCACTTTAAACTACTGCTTCATAAAGGAAATGTTTATAGCTAACAAGGGGGTTAATAGCTCTTTACTGTGGCTGAATTCTTGTATCCTGAGAAACTCTGTAGATGGAGACGTTTCTGGCCCAAACTTCCAGAAACAGAAATTGAACAAACCATACTGATGCTGTAATGAAAGAGAGGGCTTAGAGGCAGAAGCTTCCTCATTAGGGATGCGTATGAACCAGCTCACAACCTAAAGTTCAAGCTGAACTTCAGCCAGTTTGTGGTTTGCAAACTCACGTTAGTTTATGAACTTTTAGTGCTGTTCGTGGTGGTTTGTGATTGGAGACAACAAGACTAGTGCTGATCGATTCAACTGTTTACAAAACTCCAAGGCAACAAGGAGGGCAGAATTCTCCAGCCTTGGAGACACCAATAGGAGCCCTCCAAACTTTAACAGGCACTGCCAGCCACCAGTCACAGAGTTCCCATTCTGCTCTATGGGTTCAGAAGGCTATATATTCATCAGCTCTGCTCCCCCCCCCCTTGTTTGCTGGCTGGTGAATCAAGACAGAGACACAGAGCTAGCAGAGCAGAGTCATTGCTTTGCTTTCTGCTTGTGTTCTGGTGTCTGCTGCTGGGATTCATTGCTTCCTGAGTGTGGTGCAGGATGTCATCTTCTTCATGACCATCCTGTGTGGGGAAGAGGAGCTCAGCATCTGCTCAAATGACTGGCTGACCCTCTTCCCAAATGGTGCATGTCCTGAAGCTTTTCCAGGACACCACCAACATGCTCTGTGCCCACATGGCCAGCTGGGGGCAAGTCATCTCCCTGATTTGAGGGCTGGACTGGGAGTTGACCACTGCACTGCAGTCAGGCCCCAAGGGGATGGCTGAACTCCGTGGGTCTGGGCCTTGGCAGAGAGATTGCAAGTGGGCATCACCGTCAGGTTCCATCCTCTCTGCAAAGAACAGGAGTACAAGCTGGCCTTTATCTGCAACCCATGGATTAAGTACAGCATTGCTCTCCAGAATGTAGAGCTCATGGAGTGGAAGTGTGAGCTCTGCAAAGAAGTACGGAGGCTTCAGGTCAGCAGGCATGGCCAGAGGGAATAGTAGGTGGAAGAAACTGGGTGAAGGAGTAGTAGCTGCAGACCACCACCTCTGCCTCCAAGAATCCAAACAGGCAGAAGCCCCTCTACTGGTTGTTGGTAGTGAAGCGGGAGGTCAGTAGCAGCGGTGGGAAGGCCAGGTGTATCATGGTGGAGGATTCAGCAGAGGTGATGGTGAGGGAGTACCTCACTGAGTCCCCTGAGCCTGCCTCCACCAGTCCCCTCAAATACTGGTCATGCAAAGCCATCATCTGGGCAAACCTCTCTTGTGTGGCCATGAATCCCCTCTCCTGCCCCCCCACCAGCGTCCAGAGTAAGTGAGTGTTCCCCCACCTGGGAGACCTTCTCAGCCCCCACCTCTGCTGTCTGGACCCAGCCAGGGTGGACGAGTTGTCCTTCCTGAAGGTCAGTTTCACTCTGCTGGGCTCCCCTGATCTGGACCTGGTAGAGTAAGATCCAGGGCTACTGATGTCCTCCTGTGTGTCCCCGCATTCCTTCTCCTGTCTGCGTGATCCAACATGCAGCCTGTGGGTTCCACCCTTGGCACTTGGGTGGGAGGATGGCTGCCTCTGTTGGGTGGGGGTGGGCTGGCCCCACACCCAACCCAAACAACATCTACCTCATGAGAAAACACCTACTTTATAAACCAACATCTGCCTCATAACAAAACACCTACCTCACGAACCAACATCTAACTTATAGTGCAACACCTGCCTCATGGAACAACATCCACCTCAGCAAACATCTACCTCAACAAACATCTGCCTATACAAGCAAACCCCTTTTTTTACTACTGCTTTCCATTGCAGGTGATCTCTTGTCTGTACAACGTGTTCTGCCAATGGTGAAGAACCAGAAATTTCACTTAGAGGTAGGCTGTGATTAGAGGATCTATATGTTTGGGCCTGTATTGTGTAGTGGGTTTGCCGCATGGACGAAGGACAAAGACCGGCATAGTGCAAAGCACGCTTTATTTGGTACACAACAAGACAAGGTCTAACGGCCGGCAGGCCAACTATATACACTCCAGGGACACACCCCTGGACCCCGTTGGTGGGTTTGAATTTCCCGCCACGGTGCCCATTGGTTCCCCCAGTGGAGGGTCTAGGAGCCTAGTCCCTATTGTTCTCCCAGAGTCAAGCTCTGGCTGTTCGCTGGCCCCCGGTGGCGGTCAGCTTACACAACAGCCTGAGAGAATTGTGAACATGCTTTCCTTAAGAACATAAGAACCTAAGAGAAGCCAGCATTGGATCAGGCCAATGGCCCATCCAGTCCAACACTCTGTCACACAGTGCCCAAAAATACCAGGTGCCATCGGGGGTCCAGCAATGGGTCTAGGACACCCGAAGCCCTCCCACTGTTGCCCCCCCAAGCACCAAGAATGCAGTGCATCACTTGCCCCAGACAGAGTTCCTATCTATACCTTGTGGCTAATAGCCACTGATGGACCTTTGCTCCATATGTTTATCTAATTCCGTCTTAAAGCCATCCATGCTTTTGTAGCCACCACCACCACCACCTCCTGTGGCAGTGAATTCCATGTGTTAATCACTTTCCGGGTGAAGAGGAACTTCCTTTTATCTGTTCTAACCCAACTGTGATGTGGTGTCTGGCTGGGGTGCCCACCCAGCAGCCGTGGGGTTATTTTGGGGAGCCCCTGTCAAAAGTCTGGGGGTGCCTGGTCTACCTTTTCACCTGTCCTTCATAACCTGTCTTTTTAAACTTGAGGGGTGACCCTGCCAGCTTCACATATGTTTTCATTTATCCTCGGAGTAGAAGAATTCACCCCGATGGATGGGTGCACTCCAGACCCAGTTGTAGAGAATAATCCACCCCCTTGGTGGGTGTTCTCTGCATCTGTGTGTGTAAGCCTTAGCTGGTGGGTGCCTCGGACAAGGGCCCACATTTATTATACCCTCCCAGCTGCCATGGGGATACTTTGGGGACCCCTAATCAAAAGTCTGCCTTTCCATCTGTCCTCCAAGTACTGGTTTTGCATTTCAGCCCTGGAGGGAGAGCTGTGAGAGTTGTGGGTACACTTCCCTTCCTTGTGGTGTCTAGCTGGGGTGCCCGCCAAGCTGCCATGGGGTTATTTTGGGGAGCCCCCATTCACACTGTGGGGATGCCTTGTCTGCCTTTCTGTACTTCTGTCATTTTAGACTTGTGGGGTGGCCCTGTCATCTCTACATGTGTTTCCATTTATCTGTAGAGTAGAAAAATTCATGCTGATGGATGGGTGTGCTCTGGACCCAGGTACAGAGTACAATAAGCCAGCTAGTATGTAAGCCTTAGCTAGTAGGTTCCTCAGCTGAGTACCCTTATACCCTCCCAGCTGCCATGGAGGTACTTTGGGGACCCCCTTCGAAACTCTGAGGGTGTCTGCTTTTCCGGCTGAATACTAGCTGTTTGTTGCAGCCTGGAGGGGGTGGCTGTGAGCATTGTGGGCACACTTTGGTTGTCAGAGTTGGCCTCAGGGCTTCAAACCACCATGTCTACATACGTCATTGCACAATTTGAGGTTTGGGTGTCAGGGGTGGACTCTGGGCTTCAAGCCACCATGTCTACATACGTCTCAGGGAGGCTTTGAGCCACCATGTCTACATACGTCTCAGGGGGGCTTTGAGCCACCATGTCTATATGCGTTGTTGCACACTTTCAAGTTTGGGTCTTGCGTGGTCTCAGCAGGGCTTTGGGCCATCATGTCTACATACATCTCAGGGCTTTGAGCCACCACATCTATATACATTGTTGCACATTGGTTTGGGTTTGGGTTTCAGGTGCTCTCAGAGCACATTGCACTGATTCTGCTGGGCTGCAAAAATGCTCACCTTCAGTTTCTACTGCTGAGATTCTTGGGGACTTTGATTCTGTTCTGCTGGGCTTCTATTGCCCTTGCTTTTTTTGCTGTTTCCCCCCACCATTGGAAACAATGGAAGATGGGGGGGCACCTTCTGGGGGGGGGGGCTGTACTTCAAACCCCGTAATTCCAATTGGATAAGATAAGAGTCAGCTGGAGATCCCCTGCAAGTTTGGTGTCTCTAGCATGCTGGCATTATATCCACTCCTGAACCTGTGTCTGCATTTCCCCAAAAAGCACTTTCGCGGGGGCATCTTCTTTTTTGGAGGGTATTCTACCACGAACTTCACAAACCTGGTTCATATAATGCCTTTTTAGTTCATAATGGTCTGTGGTTTGGTTTGTGGGTCTGCCACAAACCATGAATCAAACCACATTTTCCCAATTCGTGCCCATCCCTATTCCTCAACATTAAACCCTTGAGAAGAAGACATCTAAGATTAGAGGAAAAATTTATAACCTTTTTACAATAATAAGGTATGGACCTTTTCATCTCCAGATTGGCCAACATTTACACTGATGCTTGCCTCTGGAACTCACCCCATCAAGTTTGATATCACCCTCAAACAGGTCCAGTCCTAAAGCTAAAAAAAAAAGAAAACCCAGTACAGATTAGTGCATTCTCATTCTCTCTCATTGTTGTAAAATGCAAAAAATATAAAAAACCATTAAAAACCTTCATTGATATCAAAGATATCTTGGTCCATTCCATTGTCTTCACTTATTTCTGGGAAAATGACACAGAAACAATGTATTTAGCTTAGCACTGTATACAATTGTATATTTTATTTGGTTGTAGGGCAATTTATTTAGGAAACGTTGATACAACTGTATTAAATAAGCATACTACATATTTATGAATCATAACAATCCTGTTGGAATCCTGAACTCAACAGCACAGTTCCAATTAAACATTTTTAGGATTGGAGTGTCAATGTGACAGTAATTATCAATCTATATTTGTCTCTATTGGTTTCACAAACTGGTTCTGTTATCTATATTTTAAATTAACAGAGTGCTAAATACAACTCACCCAGTGGTTCATGAACAGGCTGGAATAAAAGAAAAAGATTAAGTAAGATGCACAATGTTCTTTTAATAATTTGCAGCTAGATTTTTTAAAAACTTTCATCTCAGGATTTTTCTCTGCTGTTTAGCTGATAGCTTTATTTCTGGTGCTCTTCCTAGACCATGTTCTCTTGGGGGGAGGGACAGCACAGGATGTTTTTCATTACTCAGAAATAGCTCTTATTTTTTAAAAAGTTATCAATCCCTGTCCTAATGTCTAAGTATAAAAATAATATTTTCTTTGTTGCCTTACCAGACTGTAAGCAATCTGTAGAAGAGCCCAGTTTAGGATCAGAGAAACTGACCACCAATCCATTGTACTGTATAATCTTCGTACGGACTGTGTACTATGTATGGACTATGGACTCTTAATTTCTACGTCATTTTATGTATTTAATATGCTGTCATAAACTGGAACCTTTGCTCTTGTATTGCAGGCATGAGATATGTACCTTGATCATGATCAATCAGCTATTATGACCCATCTATTGTGGTAATGTCCTGACTTGGAATAGCTCAGGCTAGCCCAATCTCATCGGACCTCAGAAGCTAAGCTGGGTCGACCGTGATTAGTGTTTGGATGGGAGACCACCAAGGGAGTCCAGGGTTGCTATGCAAAGGCAGGGAATGGCAAACTGCTTCTGTTAGTCTCTTGCCTTGATCACCCTATGGGGTCAATCTAAGTCAGCTGCAACTTGATGACACTTTCCAATAGGCAACAAAGAGAAAGACAAGTTAGGTGTTCTTCTACCAGTGTACAAAACAGCCCTGGAAAGCCCTCCCAGTGGCCTTCTCTCCTGAAAGTAGGGAGGGAGAAAGACCAAGCCCACTTGCGCAGACAGCCCCACATCAAACAGAGCTCCAGCTGGGAAGGCCTCACAATGGCACAGGTGGATTGATCATTAAGGCCATTAGGACTTTTCCTTGATGGGCTTATAGCGTGCCACCACCACCACCTGGGCTGGGCTGGGCAGGGCCAACCTAGTGGTGAGAAGGGCAGCCCATCCGAAGAAATGGCAGAGGCCATAATGTCCTATCTGCTCCTGCTGATGTGAGGCTTTATTCTCCTCCTCCCCTGGAATTTCACAACATAACTAGAAAGTTTCAGTTTTTCATTAACAAAAGGAAACAACCCTTCTTTGTTGAATAGGAGGCTTTCCACCTGCAAGTTTCTCAACATGAACAGGATGCTGTGAAAAAATCAAATATTGCACCTTAGGGAAAGTACAGTTTATATGGACCTGGCCATGTAATCTGCTTTGTTTAGCCACACTTGATGGCTTAGCGCCTCAGCCCAGAACAGTCTGCAGCCTGAGGGTCAGAACCTCAGGTGCATGGCAGAGCCACACTTTCATGAGCTCACTTTCATGAGACACACTTTTTTCATGAAAAAGTTGCCATATTTGTTCTGTTGTTTTTGAGAAAGCCCTGTTGCTAGAGTGCATGTATAGACAGCAAGGGTCCCAATCCTCCTACCGCTCTTTGCACACTAAGAGGAGCAGTAGGCCAGCCATCACCTGGTAGGAGAAAGGTTTCCTCAATGGCACTGACTCTTGGCTTGTTTTTTACTATGGTACACCTGTTGGTACTAATCTTGTGGATTAGTACCCTAGCTTCCTTGGTCTACTGCCTAATGTTCTGATAGGGTTGCCAGACCCCCTGGTTTGGCCGGGATTGCCCGTTTTGGAGCCCCCCCAAGAGCAACCACCCAGCCTCCTCCCCACCTCTCCTAAACATGCTGCTTGGAAGCAGCGGGGGCTGCACACCTGCACTCTAAGCCCTAAACCTGGGGCTTGGAATGCAGGCACACGTGGCCTCCCCCCACCTCTCCCCAGCAGCATTTAAAGGATGTCTTTAAATGCTGCTTAGAAGTGATGGTGGGAGCATGCCTGGACTCTAAGCCCCAAAATCAGGTATTGGAATGCAGGTGCATGCGGCTTCCCCCCCCTTCCCAGCAGCATTTGAAGGATGGCAGGGGTGCCGCTCCCCAATGTGATGATGTCACTTCTGTATGACATCATCATGTTAGGGACTCCCCACCCCTTCCAGTAATGCCCCCCAAAGTTCCCCCCTGTGGACTTTGAGGGGACCAGGCAACCCTATGTTTTGGCCTTGACACCAGTGAAGACATAAACCCAGTAGGTCCTTTGTCTGAAAAGCTTGAAAACCACTGACCTAGAAGATCACAGCAACTTGTTTTCATCTTTCAAGCAGACCCACAGCAACAGCTGGCATCTCTACAACAGCACTTGGATGGTTTCAGTCATTTTGATTAGACCAAATGCAGAAAGTGGTTCTTGTTGACCTAATCTGTGATTTTGGAGCTCTTGTGTGGAGTCTCAAAGGGGCCCAAATGGACCAAGATGAATGCCAATCATCCATAAACCTGGGAAAACAATTTCAAGGCTTGGAGCAGCTGGCTGGCTGGCGACTACCCCCTCGTTGCCCTGGAGAGATTCATGACTTTAGAACAATGGGCCATCCCGGACCTATTGATTCACTAAACATAATCCCATCAACACCCAAGCCTTACTTCCCCTCACCCATTACCCCTTAATTAAGCAGTAATAAATCAACACTAAAGTCTTTTCACCTTTGCAGTTGCCCTTCCCATCCCATACTTGTGAAGCCATCAAGCCTCTCATGTCTCTTTGTCTACCTCTGGTAAAGCCATTAAGTCATTGTTTTCTAGCGAGCATGTTATCCCCACCTGAGGGTACATTTTGCCCTGTAATTATGGCACCCTACTACCCAGCAGTGTGTGTGTGTGCACGCCTTGGATTCCTCCTCACCCCCCCCCACTTGCCTGCAGGGGTCGTTTCGTAGAAAAAGAGCTAGGGGAACTCATTAGCATCACTCATTAGCATATGCCACACCCCCTGACATCACCAGAAGTGTGTCATAAGGCCACACCCCCTGACATCACCGGAAGTGTGTCATAAGGCCACACCCCCCGCCCCCAACGGTCCCGGCCGCCGTCGCCGGCCTTGCAGCTCCACTGCCGAGTCCCATGATGACCTGAAGATTTTCTTCCTCATTAGCACTGAATTAAGATGTGATTTGGAATTTTGCTTCTTTTTTCTTCTGTGAAAGGAAGGTGAAGTCTTTCTCTGGTTTTGTCTTACTGGATGTGAAGGATGATGCTGTACTTCTAGTAAATGATTTTACATGGTGGGCGGTGGGAGGAGGGAGAAGCCGGTGAGGGAAGCCTTCAGGCTCCGCTCGCCAGCCCTGCGCTGGGGGGGGGCGGTGGGAGGAGGGAGAAGCCGGCGAGGGGAGCCTTCAGG